GGAACTTCGTATTTTTTAATCTCTTTATAGTTATATTTTAGTTATAAGTAAGGGGTGTTATATATTATATTATTTATTCTTAGATAATGATTATTTAATTTCTAACCCCTTTTAGTTTAACTTCCATTTAATTATATGAATCTAAAATAATAATATTCTCTCAACCATTTTTCCTACTTTGATATTGCATTAACTTTTTAGCTAATACATATAGTATTTTAGTCTTATTTTTTATAGTGGGATATAGGTAAATCTGTAATTTGTAAGACCTTCTTATGTATTTAAAAAATAATTTAGATTTATCACTTTACTATGCTATAAACTTCTGTATTTTATCCATATTACCTAAAATTCAATAACTTTATGGGAAGAAGGTACATCTATAGCTTTATTCCATTTCTTCCTCTTACTTTGAACGAGGTTATTTGCTACTGTCCAACTAGGCCATCACATTTAATTATGCTTCTTATATTTTGTACATTATTTTCCTTTTACCTATTTACGATCTATAATTCTAAGTCATACTTATGTCTTCATATTTTATTATGCTTAAACTTAAATTTGTAGCTAGTAAAAACTATAATGTATAATTGAATAAGCCTAGGGGTGGGGTAATATAAGTCATAGTAATTATATATTATTCTTTATTATGATTTCCTTTATTATGGGATTCGCTACCTAGTTAGGATCTCTTTTTATCTTCTTATTCTAGATTTTAACCTCTTTCCTACATTTACATATTGATAAATATTTGGATAGCTTTTAGATCTTTAAATATTAGACTGTCATAAAATTGGAAGGGAAAAGTTTGTATTAATTTCACAGTAAAAAAGGGAGGCCTAAACGTATTCCAAAACCTTAAAAAGAATAAAAATGGAATAAGCTTGAGATAAAGGTAAATATTCAGAACATTTGTGGTATACTCCTATATCTTATTATATATTTAGGGGCTATCATAAGGGGTAGGGTCGTAGGAAGCTCCTCTCATAAAAAAGATCCATCGTCCAATATTAAGATTTATAAAGACGAAGTTCCAAACTGAATCATGAAAAGTTATACATCTGCTTATTTTGTAAAAACTTATTGAATGCAAGGGCTTTTATTTTCCATTATCGTTTTTTTTTAGAAGATGCTTAGGACGACTTAAATAACAACCTAAAAAATAAGTATAACTTCAGTACAAAAATAAGTTATAGATTTAAACTATTAGCTTTATAGAGTAAAGGGATACTTATGTGTAAAAAAAAACAAGTTTAGGGAGGATCCTCATTAATATTTATCTTATCCAGACTATTAATACTCTCATTATGCTGTTAATAATGGGTAATATAAAATAATCCTCCGATACATAATATAGGTTGTACAATTTGAAGTAGTTTAACTTCAGGGAAAATTATATATAATCATTAGAGCTTATTATATGAGTATTAATTCTAATTATGAACAAATATCATCTTCAATTAGGATCCTAATTATTGATATTTAAACACTTATTTATCATAGTCCTAGTAAAAAGAGAACCTTACAATAAATCAATTCTTATTTTGTAAAGGGAATCTATCAGTTATAATTCCTAAAATATAATAAGTTAGTCTAACCTGAACTAGGACTTGTAGTTAAGAAGTTATCACTTAACTCCTAATACATTCGTTTTAGATAAAGCTTAACCTCTTTCAGATAATATAGATAATAGTATCAGCTACTAATCCCATGTAATATATAATCTAAACTATGTCTTATCAATAAATTTTACGGATATTGATTATATAAATGTGATAAATCTAATATTATAATCCTAACTATATATTTATAAAAAGATTATATTCATTGTAAAAGATGGAGTACACATAGATAATATTTTTCATTAGCTAGGATATTTAAAGGATATAAAGATCTTAATTTTAATGAAGGTTTCAAGAAATAATAATAAATATAACACTAAGATTCGATATAGTTATAAAAAAACTTAAAACATAATGGGAGGATAAGATAATAGGGATTAAGGAAAAAAGGTATAATTATTAAACCAGTGTAACCAGCTATATTTTAATAATCTAGTGACGATTACAATCCTTCTTTAACTGTCCTCCAACCGTTTAGGTAATTTAATAAAATGATCCATTAAAGATAATAAAGCTATTACTTTTTACTAAAATGAAGTTTTACTACATAATTCTTTTATATTTATTCCCTTTTAATAAAAACTCACTTATACCTGATTAAATACCTATAGATAATTATATTTTAGATTCAGGTAAACTGTGAGATTCTAAAAATAAGTAAAAGGATAAAAATGGAATAGAGATGGTGGCAGGTAGAAGCATTATAGTCACGAGTTTCTACTTAGCAAGTACTAGAACGGAACAGGCGATACGTGAGATTTAAACCAGTCACGAAGCCAGGGGGAGAATGTATAATGGAATGAGATCTTAATACTACATAACCATTAGCAAAATACTAGTAGATACTATTAATATCAAAAGGACCTAATATAATTCACAAATTACCTAATGGAGTCGTAATACTTTTTAAAGTCTAAATCGTGTATCTATACCTTGGATTCCACTTAAATTGATAGTGGTGTATCTAAACCTAGAAATAATATTAAGAAGGTATAATGGTAGTAATAATATTTGAACCATTTTGAATCTAGGAATAAACCTTAAAGTTAAATGGAGAAGCCAGAATGGTATGAAATAAACGTAGCATAATGTTAGAGGATTACTTTAGGTTTAATCATCAGACCAG